GGTGACTAGCGACCGGCCTGGTACTACAGACCACCGTGACTAGCGACCGGCCTAGTACTACAGACCACCGTGACTAGCGACCAGCCTGGTACTACAGACCACCGTGACTAGCGACCAGCCTGGTACTCCCGACCACCGTGACTAGCGACCAGCCTGGTACTACAGACCACCGTGACTAGCGACCAGCCTGGCACTACAGACCTCGGTGACTAGCGACCAGCCTGGTACTACAGACCACCGTGACTAGCGACCAGCCTGGCACTACAGACCTCGGTGACTAGCGACCAGCCTGGTACTACAGACCACCGTGACTAGCGACCGGCCTGGTACTACAGACCACCGTGACTAGCGACCAGCCTGGTACTACCGACCACCGTGACTAGCGACCGGCCTGGTACTACAGACCACAGTGACTAGCGACCGGCCTGGTACTACAGACCACCGTGACTAGCGACCAGCCTGGTACTACAGACCACCGTGACTAGCGACCAGCCTGGTACTACAGACCACCGTGACTAGCGACCAGCCTGGTACTACAGACCACCGTGACTAGCAACCAGCCTGGTACTACCGACCACCGTGACTAGCGACCAGCCTGGTACTACAGACCACCGTGACTAGCGACCAGCCTGGTACTACAGACCACGGTGACTAGCGACCGGCCTGGTACTACAAACCACCGTGACTAGCGACCGGCCTGGTACTACAGACCACCGTGACTAGCGACCAGCCGTGTACTACAGACCACCGTGACTAGCGACCGGCCTGGTTCTACTGACCACCGTGACTAGCGACCAGCCTGGTACTACAGACCACCGTGACTAGCGACCGGCCTGGTTCTACAGACCACCGTGACTAGCGACCGGCCTGGTACTACAGACCACCGTGACTAGTGACCAGCCTGGTACTACCGACCACCGTGACTAGCGACCAGCCTGGTACTACAGACCACCGTGACTAGCGACCAGCCTGGTACTACAGACCACCGTGACTAGCGACCAGCCTGGTACTACAGACCACCGTGACTAGCGACCAGCCTGGTACTACAGACCACCGTGACTAGCGACCAGCCTGGTACTACAGACCACCGTGACTAGCGACCGGCCTGGTACTACAGACCACCGTGACTAGCGACCAGCCTGGTACTACAGACCACCGTGACTAGCGACCGGCCTGGTACTACAGACCACCGTGACTAGCGACCAGCCTGGTACTACCGACCACCGTGACTAGCGACCAGCCTGGTACTACAGACCACCGTGACTAGCAACAAGCCTGGTACTACAGACCACCGTGACTAGCGACCAGCCTGGTACTACCGACCACCGTGACTAGCGACCAGCCTGGTACTACAGACCACCGTGACTAGCGACCAGCCTGGTACTACAGACCACCGTGACTAGCGACCAGCCTGGTACTACAGACCACCGTGATTAGCGACCAGCCTGGTACTACAGACCGCCGTGACTAGCGACCAGCCTGGTACTACCGACCACCGTGACTAGCGACCAGCCTGGTTCTACAGACCACCGTGACTAGCGACCGGCCTGGTACTACAGACCACCGTGACTAGCGACCAGCCTGGTACTACCGACCACGGTGACTAGCGACCAGCCTGGTACTACAGACCACCGTTACTAGCGACCAGCCTGGTACTACAGACCACCGTGACTAGCGACCGGCCTGGTACTACAGACCACCGTGACTAGCGAGCGGCCTGGTACTGAAGACCACCGTGACTAGCGACCGGCCTGGTACTACCGACCACCGTGACTAGCGACCGGCCTGGTACTACAGACCACCGTGACTAGCGACCAGCCTGGTACTACAGACCACCGTGACTAGCGACCGGCCTGGTACTACAGACCACCGTGACTAGCGACCAGCCTGGTACTACAGACCACCGTGACTAGCGACCGGCCTGGTACTACAGACCACCGTGACTAGCGACCAGCCTGGTACTACCGACCACCGTGACTAGCGACCAGCCTGGTACTACAGACCACCGTGACTAGCAACAAGCCTGGTACTACAGACCACCGTGACTAGCGACCAGCCTGGTACTACCGACCACCGTGACTAGCGACCAGCCTGGTACTACAGACCACCGTGACTAGCGACCAGCCTGGTACTACAGACCACCGTGACTAGCGACCAGCCTGGTACTACAGACCACCAAGATTAGCGACCAGCCTGGTACTACAGACCACCGTGACTAGCAACCAGCCTGGTACTACCGACCACCGTGACTAGCGACCAGCCTGGTACTACAGACCACCGTGACTAGCGACCGGCCTGGTACTACAGACCACCGTGACTAGCGACCAGCCTGGTACTACCGACCACGGTGACTAGCGACCAGCCTGGTACTACAGACCACCGTGACTAGCGACCAGCCTGGTACTACAGACCACCGTGACTAGCGACCGGCCTGGTACTACAGACCACCGTGACTAGCGACCGGCCTGGTACTACAGACCACCGTGACTAGCGACCGGCCTGGTACTACCGACCATTGTGACTAGCGACCGGCCTGGTACTACAGACCACCGTGACTAGCGACCAGCCTGGTACTACAGACCACCGTGACTAGCGACCAGCCTGGTACTACAGACCACCGTGACTAGCGACCGGCCTCGTACTACAGACCACCGTGACTATCGACCGGCCTGGTACTACAGACCACCGTGACTAGCGACCGGCCTGGTACTACAGACCACCGTGACTAGCGACCAGCCTGGTACTACAGACCACCGTGACTAGCGACCGGCCTGGTACTACAGACCACCGTGACTAGCGACCGGCCTGGTACTACCGACCACCGTGACTAGCGACCGGCCTGGTACTACGGACCACCGTGACTAGCGACCAGCCTGGTACTACAGACCACGGTGACTAGCGACCGGCCTGGTACTACCGACCACGGTGACTAGCGACCGGCCTGGTACTACCGACCACGGTGACTAGCGACCGGCCTGGTACTACAGACCACCGTGACTAGCGACCGGCCTGGTACTACAGACCACCGTGACTAGCGACCGGCCTGGTACTACCGACCACCGTGACTAGCGACCGGCCTGGTACTACAGACCACCGTGACTAGCGACCAGCCTGGTACTACAGACCACCGTGACTAGCGACCAGCCTGGTACTACAGACCACCGTGACTAGCGACCGGCCTGGTACTACAGACCACCTTGACTAGCGACCAGCCTGGTACGACAGACCACCGTGACTAGCGACCGGCCTGGTACTACAGACCACCGTGACTAGCGACCGGCCTGTTACTACAGACCACCGTGACTAGCGACTGGCCTGGTACTACACACCACCGTGACTAGCGACCGGCCTGGTACTACAGACCACTTCGTCAGGCACGGAAGGTCTCACATTCAAAATGCACTGTCACTAGCGACTACCTGCTGAACACGACCAGCGACCGCCTTTTCTTGTCCCAATGTCGAATTTGGACCCGTAACTAGCGACCGTGATGTAGCAAATCAAACATTGCTAGAAGCTCCTTCTCGAAATTTTGATGATTTTCCATGGTCGTTTCGATACTACAGCTGGACAAATGAACGCAGTCTCATTTTTACTGTGGAATCAGTGTGAACTGCACTACACCTGTCATAATTTCAAGTGCTGTCAAGAACAAACATGATAGGAAACGTCTTTGGAGAACGCATCCAAAGCGCTCTGTGATCGAATTTACTACTCGAAGGAGAAACTACGACTGAGCGGCTCCCAGTCGAAGTGCAATCACACAGCTCACCAGGTCACACTGACAGTCTGTACTGGCTAGCTAGCATGCTACGGTACATGTGCTCACCTGTACGGAACACAGGCCAGGATACGATGGCGGATACTGTCTGTACTAGTCTACAGTGAAGGTGGGAAAACTCGCAACATCGCCGCATCACGTACTGGTACACACCAGTGCAGTTTACGCTACACTACATCCAAGTCGGAGCGACTGAGTTTCCACTGTAGATCTACACACCGATACCTGTTGCCAGTGTAGTCGCACACAGATGAGGATGGAGTCGATAGTGACTAGTCCACTGCCTGGCCAGGCCAGCGCTGCTCTGGAAACCCAGTGAGTCGACATGTCGTATCGCTTCCGGTGTATAAAAAACTTGATTTTCTCTCTCTCCAAGTGTTGTATGATCTGAAAGAAGAATGTCAGTGCGCAAGTGGTGCGGGACTGTATTATCTGCATTTTGACATACATATCATATAATGGGATCCACATATGGTCGCGCCGTGCAAACCTCTAACTAAAGACCACCTGCCACTAAAGACCACTTTTCCGGGCACCAAGGGGTGGTCGTTAGTTACAGGTTTTACTGTACCAGTTTTTCATGGAAAAAAAGTAGCCCTGAAAGTGGTGGCATTCAAATATTAGCCCCGGGGAATGATAGAACAGTTTCTCTGTCACGCTCCTGAGCTGTCCCTAAGTCCAATGAAGTGGCCTAAGATCATATCTTCAAAAAAATTCAACTCAAGTCGTGCCAGCCATTCTGTGAGTTATCGTGACAAGCGTAATGTTCAAAATGCTAAAATTGTCCTCACGTACGAATCGGGAGTTGTCGGCGCATTGTCGGCGCACGACGACGTCTCCTGTTCACACTCGATTTGCAACCGTTGTGTACTCTTGGGTCTCTGTCTTCACCCATCTGCTGTATTAAACGTTGAATCAATTCACCTCTTGCCCTGGCTTCCCCCATCTGTACGGTAGTAAGGTTGTGTTCCCGTTCCTGGTATTCACGTTCAATGCCGTTAGACCGTCCAGTCGCTTCCCGGTCATCCTCACGTCACGTCCCGTCTCGCCCAGTCGAATGTGAACTAGGAGTTAGCGCCAGGCGGTGAACACTAATGCCACTGGCAATGTTTGAGTGCACACTCATGTATGTGACTGTCTATGTGCACTTAAGATGTCTATAATACATGTGCTAGTGTGTTGGTATCTGTGTGCGTGTTCTGTGCTGTGTTCTATTTAGAAGTCTCACCAACAAGTCCCGATACTGACGGTACGTTCCACTTCTGTTTCTCTTTGCCTTGCACTTTCAGTGAGTGCATCAAGCACTGCAATGGGTTCTGAAAACACTGTAGGACCACTGTGTTGCATCTACCGGTGCAGAAATGAACATTAGATCAGTGACAACACCTTTCTGCAGCATGTACTAGAAAGGATTTGTTCTAGTCGGGCAAAGATGCAGGTGTCTTTCATGGTAGGCTGGATGTGCAGTCTGTATACGAATAGCAGTGCAAAGATGTATGTGTCTTTCAGGGTAGGCTGGATGTGCAGTCTGTATACGAATAGCAGTGCAAAGATGTATGTGTCTTTCAGGGTAGGCTGGCTGTGCAGTCTGTATACGAATAGCAGTGCAAAGATGTATGTGTCTTTCATGGTAGGCTGGCTGTGCAGTCTGTATACGAATAGCAGTGCAAAGATGTATGTGTCTTTCATGGTAGTCTCGGTGTGGACTCTGTATACGAATAGCAGTGCAAAGATGTGTCTTTCAGGGTAGGCTCGGTGTATACTCTATTATACGACCAGTATGTCTGTACCACACCACTCAGCATGTCAGAAGTTGCTGCTGGACCTCTGGTACTGAATTCATTGTTTTTTGGTTGCTACCTTGTTGCCCTAAATATCACAACGGGTGGTTCCTGCACAACTACATCAACAGTCACAGCAACGCCTAAAGCAACATCATTGATACAGCCCGCAGAATTGACAGCAACGGTGAGCTCTGCATCATCTGAACCAAGAGTAAACTCCAATGCTGATAATTCCACAGCGGAAGGCTTGCCGCTTGGCACAGCCATTGGTATTGGAAGTGTGTGTAGTGTCATCGGAGTAGCTGTGTCATCATGGTGCATCTCTTTACTGAGGAGACATTGCAGGTAGGAACTTATTATTGATTCCTAGTTTATACTGGTGTGGCATGTGTACTATTTTCCCTTGATCTGTTCTGTAAAGTACTGCGAGAGCGTTCCGTCTCGCAAGAGCATCCCACCTTGATTTCACAGACAGGAAAAATGATAATCGTATGGCAGAGTGCAACAAAGTGTCCACAGTGTGAGAACCTTGTGTGTGGAGCTCGTGTCCGCTCAGGGAAATTTCCACACACTAAGCGTACAAAAGGTATTCCAGGTTAACGCAGTGGTATTGGTTTCCCAATGCCGTGGTTTGGCTTAGTGGCATATCTGTTCATAGAACATGCAGTGATGACATGTGAAAAATAGTGCTGGCTATTTTCCACAGGTCCACCCCCCCCCCCCCCCCCCCCGGGTTAGACTGAGTTTCAGCATCCGTAGGAATACCACCACTCTGCAAATATATAAGGCGAACATGCAGCTCGTAAAGCAATGGGAGGCCCGCCAGCAAAGGGGTTCAACGACCGAAAAGCCTATTTGCTGCAGCCACATTTCCTTCTTACCAGGCCACAAATTCCTAATTCACTGTGGGATGCAGCGTGGCTGGAAAAATCCTTCCGCTTCCAAGCAGGACTTGATCCTGATACCGGCTCTACCATCCCCTGTGTCAACACACTAGAATACTGCCGAAAACTGGATTACTGATTCGATTATAGAGACTTATTGATAGAAAAGAAAAGAAGCACTGGCAAGAAAGGAATGAAACGACACTAGGTTTACCCTGTCAGTCCAAAACAGGTATGCGCATGCTCATTACCACATTCTCCCAAACGTGGCTGCCCGTAGCACCAAATCTAGACCACAGAAAGCAGACCCACGTGGGCTTGAAATGCGCGGCGAGTAGAAGTTACTTAGGACAATTAATAGAGCAGAACATTGGTTGTATATGACAAAGGTCAGAATTACAATTCATTATTAAGTGCAAGAATATTGAACTTATTGATGATGTCATCAATTCTACTTCAACAGAGAAAAGGCCGGCGACGCCAGCAGCAGTGCATCAGCAGCAGCCGGTAGCAGTGCACCAGCAGCAGCCGGCAGCAGTGGACCTGACGCTAAAAACAGTAATGTCATTTTGATTGGCAATATCAGGATCGAGCAGAGCTGTATTAGCGACAGTACACACGGATGACCGGAGCACATGGATTTGAGATCCCAACAGCATTGATGTGTAAGTCCACTTCCTACAAACCAGTACTACTTGTACATGCAAAGCACAATAGGGAAACTATGGTTCAGAATAGAAATCTCAGTACTCGTAGTCTTCAGGGTGCTGAGCCGAATTGCCTTGGTCCGGGGAAGCGGAGACATTCCCTTCCTCCTTTATTGCCGATCGAACTCACCACTTCCACCAAAACTGGGTGACAGCCGCCCTACTAGATTGTGATTTGTATGCAAAATACCACTGAAAGTGCCATCTCCTTTCAAAAGCATGGAGGAAAGTGATCGACCTATATGTTGTAGTTTATTGGACGCTGAGTCAACTGGTTTTGGTCCGAGAAGGCTGCGATGCAGCTTTCGAGCATTATTCCCAATTTCACACGGTGGGGGAAGAGGATACGTGCTCTGCGTGCACCAGTCAGTGTTCCTGCATGCTACAACTTGCAACCTGTTTGTGTGCTTTCCTGTCACTCGAGTTGAACCTTGGTGTGAAAGTTGTGGCCTGCAGGCATGGTGATCAGGTGAAAGATGTACACATGAGCACGGCACTGCTTACTCGACCGTGTTCAATCGGGAGTAATGGCCCAACGCTGCATCGCAGCCTTCTCGCACCAAACCCCGTTGACTCCGTGTCCAAAAGACTACAACATATGCGCAAATCACGTTTACCCATGCATTAATTAGAAGGAAATGGCACTTTTAGTGACATTTTGCATACAAATCCCCATCTAGGAGGAAACAGTCACCCGTTTTCGGTGTAAATGGTGTGTTTGATTGGGAATAAAGGAGGAAGGGAGTGTCTCAGCTTCCTTGGATCAATACCATTCGACTCAGCACCCTGAAATTTTGATTCTAGGCCATACTCCCGTGCATCTGTTCTGTCATTCCACGAATGGGCATGGAATGCAGCCGGGACCCATATCCCAGAATCGGAATGAGCATGGTAAACAAACGCGCGCATGGACTCGTGAATCTGGCAAACGTTTTGTGCAGCTCCGGAAACGCCGGTCGGTAGTTTTTTTTTTAGTACAAGCACGACATGTTGTTTCTCTAGCCTTGTGAAGATTAGCAGTAGTGGCAATCTTGCTGCCGGACGTTTCTGCATGCGCCATACGACAGTCAAGATGAAGTCGCGGCCGAATGCGGCGTATATCTCCGATCGTCCGTAACTAGGGTGCTTTTGCATGGCGTTTGGCTGTTGCTTCATCATGACTATTTGACCTCGTCTCAGTCACAGAAACATATCTAGCTTTACACGGATTTGAAGTGTTTTTTGGCAGAGACAAGGCAATGTTGTTGGAGGACGTGACGTGACAGGCTCAGTGCCTGTTTGAGTCATTATCTGCTATGGATAGTCGGGCTCGAGAACGAGTTCTGGCTTGTCTCACTGTGATTCTGGAGGAATGGCTCGACGATGAGGAGGAGAAGTGCGAGGGCATCTTTCCAGTTCGTTTCCTGAGCGAACACTTTCTCAGACAGCGAAGTGTAAAAATACTACAAACAAGTAACTATGCCGACGTTACAGTATCAGCATATACCCTGCATGATTAGAGAGAATCGCATTGGAAGTTTTGGTGGCGGAGGTATGCAAGAGCGACAAAGCCCACGGTGGCCGATGTGCATTTTCATTCCGCTCGGAATGAGAACTCATTCCACATTTTCTTTGGAATCGCCAGAATCGATTCTGCCCCATTCATTCCTGGACCGGAATGGGAACTACAAAGAAGAAATGAAGTCGCATGCATTAAACAAACGCACCGGAACCAAAACATGGCGGAATGACTTTGGAATGGTGTCGGAATGACATCGAACAAACGCAATCTCAGGGGATAGTGTAATGCTTCCTAACTGTTTTCTTCCATCCATTCCACTTTGTCTCTCTTTCTTTCTCTCCCTCCCTCACTCTCTCTCTCTCTGTGTCTCTGTCTCTCTCTGTGTCTCTGTCTCTGTCTCTCTCTATCTCTCTCTCTCTCTCTCTCTCTCTCTCTCTCTCTCTCTCTCTCTCTCTCTCTCTCTCTCTCTCTCTCTCTCTCTCTCTCTCTCTTTCTATCTCTCTCTTTCTTTCTCCCTCTCAATGTTGTCATCTTCGGCCTTGTTCTCCGTCAGCTCTACTTCTGCTCTCTCATTCTGTCTGTATTTCCGTGTTTCTTTCTCTCTTCCTGTCCATTTTCCCGTACTCCAGGAAATCGGGCAAGCATGTCATAAACTAGACCACGGTTCTTCTCGCTGACGTGCTCATCTGTACTGCCCTATGTCTAGGACTATCGGCCAACGCATTCACGCACGCACACACGCACATATATATGTGTGTTCGGGCATGACACCAGGCTAAAAATACTGGCGGTCAATTCATCAGCCTTGCAAACTGTTGAATTGTGAAATCCCAGCACAAGTTGTCATGTCTAACATAGCTGTTCGCTATCATCGCTTCCGCGATGGGCAGGTCTGAGGTCTGAGGTTCGTGCATGTGTGTGTGTGTACACACACACACATGCACGAACCTCAGACCTCAGACCTGCCCATCGCGGAAGCGATGATAGCGAACAGCTATGTTAGACATGACAACTTGTGCTGGGATTTCACAATTCAACAGTTTGCAAGGCTGATGAATTGACCGCCAGTATTTTTAGCCTGGTGTCATGCACGAACACACACACACACACACATACGAACATACGCGCGCACAAACACACATAAACCCGCTCACAAAGCTTTCGTATCCACCGTTTGTTTGCTGCGTGCAATTTTCCCCACCGTTAAAGTTGCTGTGCATAATTGAGCATCGCAGCTTCCGACCTACAGTATCTTTGCAAACTGCTTGGGCAGGGGTGGCTCGATCCACACCAAGTTCAACACACACCTGCATGCCACTCTCCTACTTTTAGTCACCAAATGCAAAATCCTACAAAAATTGCCCTTTCCTCATGTGTAACATGTTTGCAATGCCCGCATTACACAATTCATCATAATCAATCTTAGTTGTCACCCGTCCACTTGTATGCACCCCTGGTCACCAACTGCTAGCCAACACCCTTCCTCAGCAAACACTTGAAGAAATAGGATTGTTCTTTTAGGGGTGGCAATTAATGGCCCCTCAGCTGGTTTAGCAAGTTGTATTCTTCCTTTTTTTTAAATAATACATAACTATGGAATGCTTCGGTGCCATGTTTTGTGACCGATTCTGAGCAGTCCCTAGTTTCGGTTCCCTTCCGCCTCGAGAATTACATGTGCTCCCTTTTGCTCTTTTTCTTAGTTATGAACTTTGTATGGATCTGCTTCGCCTTCGATAGTACGAGGGAAGTTGTTGTTTGTTCTATTCCGTGCATTGCCCTTTCTTTCCCGCTTTAGCGCTAGCAAATGTGCCCTGAATTGTCTTTCAATCATATCATCAGATTTTCAAATTGCATCTTTTGTGCATTGCGGTGTTCTGCCTTACGTTGTGTAAGTACTTCTTGAGCCGAGGAATAGATACTCAACGGGAGTAGATAGCATGGTATATATGATGGACCCAGCAGCAGGCCTGTTCCTATAATTAATGGGTCGGTTTGGGTGTTCTCCCTATAGCGGGTCGGTTTGAGTCGCATATATGGACAGCTCAGAGTGCACAGTGCGAGAGGTGCATATCGTATGCCTTATAGACACAAATATTTAGCTGGTCTCAGAGTACACAGCGTCATGCACACTCTGTGCTGAAAATAAGCAAAAAAGCAGATGTAGAAGGTCAACTAACGGAGAACTGTGCTTCAAATAAGCAAAAAGCAGATGTAGAAGGTCAACTAACGGAGAACTGAAGATCAGGGGATCAGTAAAGGTTATGGCTACGGAATGCATACCGGTATCAGAATATTCCCGTAATCTAAACAATAAAATTAATGCCGTTGCGCTACACGTCCAGTGCAGAATCTACGTAAGTTTGGCCTCTGGAAATACACCTCGTACGGAGTTTTCCCGTGTAGGCTTCTGTGGACGCGGTTGTTGTAGCTGTAGTAAAACAGCGGCAGACGATCAGGCCAATTTTTATCTTCCAGCAGGTCACGTCTTAGGAATTGCGCCAGTGTCTGGTTGAAGCGCTCTACCCGGCCTTGACTTTGTGGGTGATACGGTCGGCCGTTGATCTTTTGTGCCCGCATCTCGTCCATGAGTGCCGACAAATCACCATTGTTGAATTCTTTCCCGTTGGCCGTTTGGAGAATTCTTGGAGGTCCGTACAAGTACATCGTAGAAAGGATCACGCGGCACACTTCCTTCGCAGTTTTGCTCTGATGGCACCACCCATCGCGAATCGGCTGTAACAGTCCACAATATTACAGACGTATTGGAAGCCTCGACTCGCTGGGAGCTTTTTCAAGTCCATTTGCCAGCGACTGTTCGAGTAAGGCTGTGTTTACATGAAGCGTTTCAACCCGGGTCAGATTTCAACCCGCCATGTGCATAAAATGAATGGCGCGTTTACATGACGCATTGCGCTTAACCCGGGTTGAAATTTCGCCCCGGGTTGATTTCAACCCTCCCCCCCCCCCCCCCAAGGGGAGGGTTGAAATCAACCCGGGTCAAGAAAATCGTACAACCGTACTTCTCGCGCCAGGTTTGAACAGCACTGCAGATGCAAATTTCGCGCGAACGGATTCACGTGACCATACAGGACTGTAGAAGTGGACTTTTGGCGGCATATCAGTATTTGACCCGGGTCAACTGTGTTCATGTAAACGCTCGCCTCTTTTGTCTGTCGTACAGACTTTCAACCCGGGCTGAACTCGACCCGGGTTGAAACTTCTCATGTAAACACAGCCTAAGGGGCCTATTATTATGTGCAACTCCAGCCCGGGCTGGAGCGAGCGGGCCAGCCCGCCAAGGGTGTTTACATGTGCAAGGCGGGCTGGTCGCCAGCCCGAAGTGAGTTTATATGCACTGAGCACATACCAGCCCGTTGTGAGTATGCAGCAAACACACTACGACTGTATAGTGTGCTGCCCCGGGCTGAAACGCAGGGCTGCAAGCCATACTCAGGTT